CACTGAAACCTTTGAAACGTACTTAACACCAAAACCCTTGTTGATCAGTGTGATCAAAGTGAATATTATGAATGAATACAAATTCAAAACATACCAATGAAGTGTAAATTCTTTTAAATCCAGGTTAAAACTTTGCTCTTTACCCACGAGTAAGGTCAAGGACAAGGTTTATCCATATAGCACTTTAAAATACAGGAAATACTGCTCAAAGTGCGGCACATATTAAAAGATGACACTATAGAAAAATTACAATAGATAAAAAAAAATATACAAATTAAAACATTAAGATGCAATTTCCAGCCGAGCTCAGCAGAAATCAATATTTTTAAAAGTTGCAGATGAAGCACAGAATATGTTCAAAGGGCGTGCATTTCAAAATTTGGGTCGTGTGACCGCAAACGCCCTGTCACCTCTGGTTTTTAGCCTCGAACAGGGGCAGGTTAACAATAGCTGGTCACATGACCGCAGGGCTTTTACTGGAGCATGCCAACACAACATTTCAGACATGTAAACAACACCCAGACCATTCAGAGGTTTGAACACAAACAATCACATTTTAAATCGAATCCGAAAAGACACAGGGCGCCAGTTAAGTGACTGCAGCGCAGGAGTAACATGATAAAAATGTCTTCTCCCTGTCAGGTAGAGAGCAGCTACATTCTGAAGCAGCTCCAAGCGAAAAATGGATCAAGGATCCAGGCCATAATACAAGCAATTGCAATAATCCAAATGTGCTGTAATAAATAAAAGCACCCATTCAGGAGGCAATGGGTGCAGAAGTGATGGTTATCTGCTTTTCCAGGTTAAAACAGCTGTGAATCATGCCGCTTTTTTTTTTTTTTTTTTTTTAACACAGGAACTGTGAGGGAACATCAAGGTCAATGGCATTGTCAGGGTCACCAAACACAATAATTTGAGTTTTATTGTCATATAGGTTCAGAAAAGGAACTTCCAGATGATCTTTCATTTACTTCCGTCAAACAGTTTTGGACGGACTGGAGCAAGCCACATGAAGAGATTAAGGTCTTTCAAAGCATTTTTAAAATAATGTTTTCCAAAATCTTTTTCTTCCACTGTACTCATGAGTAATTTTAGGAAGATACTTTTTCTTAACTTGGCTTTTAAATGTCTGGCACACTTTTGTTTGTAAATTGCTTTTTAAATGAAGCACATTGCGTTTCATTGTGTGAAATGCGCTACAGTACAAAAATAATAAGAACAAATTTTATTTGCAATGCACTTTACATTTGGTTCACAGTCTAATGAACAGTAAGCAGAATAGCAGTAAAATCAAACAATGGGTAAAACGAACAAATGAATAAAAAACACACAATTCGATAGATCAAATTAAGTAAAGACAGTGTCATGACATCATCTAGTGAAAAAAAAAAGTTCACTTAGTGACATTATGAAATGCTAACACCCGGCTTAGCTTGGAGCACGCTTAACGGCTAACTGCAAGTTGCCCATGCTGGCAACAGGCACCGTGCAAAACATCCATCCATCCTTTGTCCGAGCCGCTGATTCTCATGAGTCACGGGCGTGCTGGAGGCTATCCCAGTTGTCTTCAGGCAGGAGTCAGAGTATACCCTGAATTGGTTGCCAGCCAATCACAGGGCAACGCACATAGACAAACATCTGTACTCACCATCCCACTGTATGATAATTTAGAGCGGGGGTGTCAAACTCTTTTTTTTGTCGTGGGCCACATTGTAGTTATGGTGTCCCTCGACGGGCCGTTATTGTGAACCCATATAAATGTATTTTGGCCTTATGTTATCACATATACACAGTGGCGGACCCTCAGGGCCAGCAAGGCCTTCTCTGCTGGCCTAAACATTCTCAGAAAAGTACATTTACTTTTCTGTGAAAAAAAAAGTACATTTACTTTTCTGAGAATAACATTAATTTGTTATTTTATTTTCATAAATATGTAAACAAAATTATTCTCTGTATTCTTTACGTCATATTATTTCCACTTAGCCGAGTGGCTTTCAATGTTATTTTAAATAACATTGAAAGCCACTCGATAAATAACTTATTTATTATGGTAGAGTTTTTAACCAATCATATTTCAGCTAGCTTGTGTTGCCAGTTAAATTAAACTTGCTCGATGCCTTCAGATTAAACAGAGCACGCCCCTGTGCGCTGTAAGTGAACGGGCACAGTCAGGTTTCAATAGCCAATCAGCTCACGGGTCTGAGACTCGTGATCTGACTCGTCTGCGTACTAGGGCCAGCTAGAAGGCCTTACGTCGAGACTGGCCGTGCGCGTTCGGTGACTGGATTAGTGCCTTTTCTGTTTCCTGAGAATTGTATCCTGACTTGTTCAATAATGATTAAAAAAAAAAAAAAAAAGATTGGATTAGCGTCTGCTAGAGCTATCACTCGCATTTTAACCCAAAATGGCCGAAGGAGAAGACGTTGATCTGGTTGCAGAACTACTTTGCAAATAATTTTCAAGACGGGCCTTCCACGAAAAGCTGGATATTGTGCAAAGAGGCCGCCCAACTCCTGCGCTAGTTAGACTGTCCCAGCAAGGAAAAGGGTTTGTCCGTCATTTTCAGACCAGCAATTTTGAACGGTACCCGTGGCTCACAGCCTCTGAGAAACGCTGCAAATTGTACTGCTGGGAATGCCTATTGCTTGCAACTGACCGGTGCGTTTAAAAACGTTTGGGGACATTCGCGTAGATCTGCAGCTCGGTGAACAGGCATGCCGGGAGACGGAGCTCCACAATGACAAAATAAAAAAGAAAAAAAATCGGGAAATTAAAATTATACCAGAAACACGACCGGACAAAAACGGCTTTCAGCATTAGCTTCCATGTCGATAGAAAAGGACTTGCTAATGGACCTGAAAACTGTACAACAGAGCCACTGAAGTGTTCCTGAGAAAAGAAAGGAGGATCGACTTTCACCTTCGTGCACGAAAGTTCGTTCAATCTCAGCTGCTCAACATTTTCAGTTATTTGCTGTTGTATCGCTGATTTTCAAAATGCAAATGATCTGTTTATTTTCAAAGAAGAGTTTGTTTTGTTATTGTTTGGTTGGTGTCTTATATGAAACTGCGACATTGCGCAATTTATTGGACAGACTTGTTTGAGATCACACAGCGTAATTTGGGTGGCATTTTATTTCGTATTTTTAAATCATCTTTTTATTTTGGACTATCTGTAAATTTAGTTTCCTGCTCTTAATTGTGAATGCATACTTGATGGTTTTAAATGCTCCTGAAATTAAGTGCTGCTTGACGAGCCTATACAGTATTGTGTTCATGTATGTGACGTCACTGAAGGCCTAAGGTTGAAATGCACGGCCCGCCACTGCATATACACACACCAAATTGATGGTTAACTCATTTTGAATTCAGGCACAGGAAATAGTGTGTTAAAGTATTTATCACTTTATTTGAACGAAGGATTGGTAACAAATGCTTGCAATATCTTATTTCTCAGTGTTAAAAGAGACGACAATATGAAAGAAAGATGAAGTCAACACACATGATTTTCCTTTGCGGGCTACATAAAATGATTTTGCGGGCCAGATCTGCCCCCGGACCTTGAGTTTGACATCTGTGATTTAGAGTTTTCAATTACCCGACCATTCATATTTTTGTAATGTTGGAGGAAACCAGAGTTCCCGGAGAAAACCTACGCAGGCGCAGGGAGGACATGCAAACTCCACACAGGAAGGCTGGAGCTCGGATTTGAACCCACAACCTCTGCACTATGAAGCGAACATGCTAACCAGTCCACCATCATGCTGCCCCATATAAAACAATGTCAGTTTAATTCATTAAAGGATTGTTTGGTGTCCTTAATGATTGAACATGGCTTCAAGGTGATGATGTGTTGTTGTTGTTTTGTGATGGCAATATAAGTCTAAACTGGGCTCTGATGATCGAGCCTCTCCGCTCGGCGAGACGACTCAAGTCGACTGCTCTCAAGAGGACAACTCATGTTAGTTATCGCCTGCGCTGTAATCTTTCATTCACCACCTGTTTGCAGTTTATAGATGATATTGCCGTGTGTAATAGCGGGATTACTGGCCTCTTTTAGGATGGGTTTTCTGATGTGGATTACAGGTCCTCGGTGCCTCTACCTGGAACATGTGTACCATTTCGCTGCCCCTTCCCAAAAGCGCCTTAAAGGGATCATTCCTTGCTTGAAGAAATCCACTTTGGCTGTGATTATGTCAGATCGGCCATGTTGAAATTCCATCTTCACTGTTTGTTACATTTCTAAATCCACTTTCTGGGACTCCACGTGTGTGTGTGTGTGTGTGTGTGTGTGTGTGTGTGTGTGTGTGTGTGTGTGTGTGTGTGTGTGTGTGTGTGTGTGTGTGTGTGTGTGTGTATATGTATATATATGTATACCGGAATATGTGTATGTATATGTATATAACCACATACATATATGTTGATTGCGATCGGTTGAGCAGTCCTAGTTCAGAATGTTACAAATATTTACTGAACAAAGACTTTCCCCAAGAGCAGATGATAGATAAAGAACATAGAGTATCCATTAATATATTATTTCCTATGAGAACATTTGTTCAGAAAAACACAAAACCAATTGTTTTTTTGTTTTCATATCAATATTATGAAAGAAGAAAAAAAAGGTTCACCATGCTTTTTTTGGACAGCAATACTTTCTCATGAAAATTAAGAGGGCCTTTTATTGTACATTAACATTTATACACATGTGAGAATGCATGAATTTTTAAATGTTGTTTAAAACACGTTATACAGTGAAAACATGTTAATGATTGCTCAGGCATTATCATGGGACAGATTAATTAAATTTCCAGCATTTCCCTTTTTTTTTAATTAGCAGTAATTGTATTGAGCTTAATTTACTACAACTGTAAAAGTGTTAGAAAATCATATAAGTCTCACCTTGACACAGCTTTAAAAAATGAATATGAGATTGGGGGAGAAAAACCTGGCTAAAATTCATCTTCATCACGTTTTGATGCACTTTTTGTCTGTCTCCTTTAGATGTTCAAGTTAAAAGCAACGCAGCTTGCAGAGAAGCTGCTCCCTGCCTTCAACACCCCCACGGGGATCCCCTGGGCCATGGTCAATCTGAAGAGGTAAGTGATATCATCAAGGTAAATCAACTGTGTCGATCACATTCCCTCTCAAAACCAGCGTGCGAACAAATTTGACAGGTGAAGTCCCTAGAACAGGTTAAAAATGTCCACATTTCTTCCCTCAGCGGTGTTGGTCGTAATTGGGGTTGGGCGTCGGCTGGCAGCAGCATCTTGGCGGAGTTTGGAACACTGCATATGGAGTTTGTTCACCTCACGTACCTGACAGGAAACCCTGTCTACTACCAGAAGGTAACGCTTACATGTGCACAACTGCAGAGATGGGCACTCCAACCTATTTTGCCGGTCTGTCCTCCGTCCGCAACCTGGGTACCCTTCCTTCATCATCCCTCAGTCCTTTATTCATATAATAGTCGTCCTCCATCCCTGTCCGTCCTCATCCTTTTAAAGCGTTTCTGTCCCAGTTCGAGCATGACGCTGTGGCAGAGAGGCATGGGGCTGGGGCAATTCATACCCTACAAACAAGACAGCACTTACGTTGCTCCATACATTCACATCGCACTGCTATTCCCATCTTGAGTGACGTCTTTTGCAACAACAAGCAAGTATTATCCTAGACAACATTTACATTTCATATACAAAGACTCCTTGAGGATGTCAACGCCGCAGCCGTATTGGATGTGGCAAAGTGAAGCAAATCGTGAATGTGCTTCGTCCTTACAGATGTATCATCAAGCAAAATATGGAATTATTTGTTTTTGATTGTATGATGTTATCCTAGCTCAGTTTTACAATATTTGTCAAATTTATATCTCATATTAAAACCTCATGGAAATATGGCGGATGGGCTGACATATCGCTCCTACTCAGTTCAACAATTATCTGCTATGGAATTGAAAAGAAAAAGGAAATGAATATTGATATTCATTTTAGAGTTTATGGCTTCCATGGAGTCTTGTAGTAAACGCCATAATGCCGCTTTATTGCTGACACAAATGTCGTATGTCCTTTCTCATTTGCCATAAAGTGATGCAACTCTTCATAGAGGCACTCACTACAAAGCTTACGTCACTTCACGAAAGAAACACATCATCCATTAAATACAAAACACATGACATGCCTTTCCACCTGCAAACATTGACGTATTCCTCACGTATTTGTCTGTGTACTGAACCTTATTTTCAGTAACGCCGTGATTGGCTGTTGCAGATAAAACTGGGCATCAATACAATCAAAATGACATCCGTTTCTTTATATTTTTAATGTCTTAGTCTGAGCAGGCACCCTGAGACATCACACAGCCAGCTTTCTTAACCGGCTGGATTGTTCGTTAGTGAAATAGGTGTCCGTAGGCACTTTATATTCTCTGACTGTACACTAGGTGGCAGTGTTGCTATAAAAATACTGTTGAGATGAAATTGCCTTTTAAGAAAATAGTGTTTGGCTACACTTTGGCTTCATTTTGCCCTCACATACTTAACCCAGTTAGGGACGATTAAATGTACGTACGAAAACCCACTTCCGTCCTTGCTTAGCTGTCCTTTTTAAAAAATGTCTCGCCCTGCATCCCTAAAATGGACATACGTCCAGGACGGATCGTTCCATCCGAGGGACGGAATGCCCATCTCTGCACAACTGTATTACTACAACATAGCTGCAGGAAACGAGACGTTGTAGTGCTCAGTACCAACTAGGGCGAAACTTAAATCCTCCCTGACAAGCAGTGCCGTGAAAAACTATTTACCCCTTTCCTGATTTCTGTGTTCTTTGCATATTTATCACACACAGAGGTTTCAGTTTATCAAACCAATTTTAATATCACACAGGGACAACCCAAGGAAATACAAAATGCAGTTTCTAATTGATCATTTCATTTACCAAGTGGGGGAAAATTCAAACTTATCTGGCTCTATGTGAAAAAGTAATTGCCCCCCTTGTTAAATCATGAATTAACTCTGACTAATGACAGTCTTGGGAAAAGCGGGTTAAATTTTACAGGTAACACCCAAACCTCGTTACCGCCGCATTTGTTGAATCAAGAAATCCCATAAATAGAATCTGTCAGACAAAGTGAAGTAGGCCACCAAATCTCAAGAAACCAACACATCACGCCATGATCCGAAGAAATTCAAGAAGAAATTAGAAAAAAAGTTTTTGAGCTCTATCAGTCTAGAAAAAGTTAGTCATTTCCAAGACTCTGGGGTTCCAGTGACCCACTGCATTTTGTATTCTTTCGGTTGTCTCTGTGAGATTAAAATTGGTTTGATGAACTGAAACATTAGTTTGTGTGTGTGTGCGTGTGTGTGTGTGTGTGTGTGTGCGTGCGTGCGTGCGTGTGTGCGTGCGTGCGTGCGTGTGTGTGTGTGAAATAAACATGCCAAGAACACAGAAATCAGGAAGGGAGCAAATACTTAATCAAGGCATGGTAAAAAATGTTTGTCCCTTATGGAGTCGTTTTAATGCATCCTTGACTTTCCTATTAGCCAGGGCTTTAGTGCCATCTTGTCGCATCTTATCCCATTCTTGACAGAGCACAAAAAAACTCTAATTTTGTGAATATTCAGTGAGGCAATGCATAAAGTCAGTTAACTAACAGACTCATGGTTTACTCTTTCTTGACTTTGTTCTTGTTGGAAACCAATGTTCTAAATTTACAAGATACTTACTTTTGTTATTAATAATTCTTTTATTATTTGCTATAGTGTTGAAATTCCAATTAAGTATCTGTTTTGAAATATTGTCAATAAAGTTCTTGATACATAAAAACTTGCACAGCTCAAAAGCAATCCAGAACTTCCAAATTCATTTTAATGTAATAAGAGAAAACAAATGTAAGTTAAATAATGATCTACTGTGAAATAAAATTGATTATCTTATGTATCGCTTTCACAGGTAATGCACATCCGAAAGCTACTAGCCAAAATGGATCGACCCAACGGGCTCTACCCAAACTACCTAAACCCTCGTACAGGTCGCTGGGGCCAACGTGAGTACACTCGATGTATTGTAATATTGACATGTTCTTCTTTTCTTTTTTTAAAAAATAACACAGGCATTAGGTCAGCAAAAAGAAACATTAATTGTCTACGATGAAAGCAAATGGAAGAGATGGGGAACAGTATTCCCACCTTAGTACCGTATTTTCTGCACTATAAGGTGCTTTGGATTATAAGGCGCGCCTTCAACGAATGGCCTATTTTAAAACTGTTTTCATATAAAAGGTGCACTGCATTATAAGGCACATAGAAGTAGGAGTAATAGTGGCTGCGGTTGCGCTATGCATCCACTAGTTGGATGGTGTCAAACATACGGCCCGCGGGCCGAAACCTGCTCCCAAGGAGTTTCGATCAGGCCCGCAGGATAATTTAAAAGTGAAAAAAATGCATAACAGACACGGAATGAATATTTTTAATATGATGCAATGATGGAATATCCGCTAGGGGGCACACTGTTTTGATCAGAGTAGAAGGCGACATTGTTTTGATCAGAGAGGAAGACAACAGCAGTCTCAGTCTGTCACTGAGACAGACCCAACACAGCAGACGGTATCAATACGTCAATGCTTTTTTTATACCGAAACAAAGGAAAGACATGATATTTTGGTTATTTATAGCAGAGTATGGTATAATTTTAATGGTCCGGCCCACTTGACATCTACTGAGGCCGTATGTGGCCCACAATGTGAAATGAGTTTGACACCCCTGCACTAGATGGTGCTACGCTACAGCAATACAATACAATACAATACAATACAGCATTATCAAAACAGAGCCTTCACAACCGCTGTAACAAAGCCTAGAACTGGTCACAATCTCTTTATATTAGGCGCATTGGATTATAGGGCGCACTGTCAGCTTTTGAGAAAATTTCATGCTTTTAGGTGTGCCTTACGGTGTGGAAAATATGATAAAAGTTGTATTTTAGAGAAGTATGATTGAAAGCCAACATCATAAATGGTGAATTAGTCTGTGGTATTTGGCAGCAACAATACAGGTAGGAGGGACAAATTCAGATTTCACACTTGCGGCAATTTCGATTCAGGGCAAGAAGACATTCGTCAAGGAAAACACGGTAATTTTGGCGTTCACAAGTCAGAGCTCACTCCAACCAGATACTCAGTCAATACATCTGTTTTTGTTTTGACCATTTAGTTGAAAGATATCTTTTAATGCTTAACACACACACACACACACAAACACACACACACACACACAAACACACACAAAAAACTGTATACATACTGTATATGCACTACATATATTACATTTTCAATGTGTACATTTTAGTTTTGTACTCTTCAATTATACAGATTGATAAAATGTACATGTTAACTTGGATATCGACCGATGGTTGCTGTTAAACGTGCACTCACGTCAGAAATGTAAGACTCTTTAATTACCAGAATGGCAGGCAACTCCTACCATGCCAACCACTGTCTAGCCATGTGCTGCTTTTTTAGCTTAAGCAAGCTAAACAGTCAACTGTTCTGGGTCATTCAGTAAAACAGTCATTTTTTTCCTCTTTTCTTCACGCACAGTTATGTGTTGTCGGATGTTTCAATTGGGTATGGATCGTAGTTGTTTATGACTGCCACTTTGTCATCGTGTCTTGTCTTTTCCATGGCATTCAAAGTTTCTTTGTACTCTTGTCATTTTTTTAGCACTCAGCACATCAAAAGAGATTGCAAATGTTAATCATGTAGCTCATATTAATTAATTACAGTTGTAATGAGGAAAACAAAAACCCGCAAATGAACACAAGGTGGCCTCCGAGTCGTCTTTCCAATTCATGCATAGCTTAAACTCCAGATTTCAACCTCCAGCATAGCGGGCACGTGATCAAAAAATGTCAGTAGCCTCCTGGCATATTAAAAAGTCATTCACTGCTGTGGGCGTTTATATTCATCAACTGGAATCCAACTTTTGACTGTCACCAGCAAATCTATTTGTTGTTTTTCAGTGGGCGGGTGTGTAAGGGGGTCTCACCCAGCTTTGAAATGAAAGCTTCTTCAAAACTGTTATGATGAACAGAATTTCAAATTCGAATAGAATTCAAAATCAGCACAGCTTTTCAGTTGAAGATAGTCACCTTATCACGTTAATTATGAGGGAGAGAAATGCCAACACATTGGAAGTCATACAAGGCGAAACACCGGACACTCAAACAGCATATCATCACTGGCCTGTGAAAAACACGCCTGTCCATTTTTGTCTTTTTTTTATTTTTTTATTTTTATGTTAATGTGGTATCTACATTTTAGACATAAACAAAGACAAAAATGGACGTGTTTTTCACAGGAGAGCGATGCGATGTACAATATATGTATTGTATAACCAAGTACGTTTGTGTCGCAGTTGTGAGGAAAGATCATTCATGGGGTGAATGGCGAACTCCATGTAAAAAAGCCATACTTGAGCCATGCGTTGAGTCAGTGTTCTTACAGCGTGTTTCTTGACTGTGTATTTATCAATAAAATATTTGCCCTTTCTCAGTCTTGTTTTGTACATTTGGAATCTCAAGTCACTGATCTGCTCAACTCAACATGTTTCTTTTTACAAAAAGCTTGTTTTCTCAGTTTGTCAGAAATCTGTTCTTTGTGAAACCAACCCATGTTTTACTGCTGATCACTCAAGAATGGAAATGAACAGTGTACTTATGTTGCGTCTTATGTTCAGTGTTTGTATTGTCACAGAAAGCAATCTTCTGAGGGTCAAAAGCTGTCAAAATGCTATGATACAGCTGCCAAATGGGGAACGTTTTGAAATTGACCAGCAGTGAATGAGCTAAGCACCATTGGTTTTGTGCTGATTGGAGGGAGAATGAGTGCGACATTTTCACTCCATTCTTCTTTGAATTGCCGATTTCTCACTGTTCATTTCTCCTTTAGACGCAAGCTTGGAATGCACCACTTTTGTATCATGTTGCCTCCAACTGCTGGCAAACTGAGAAACCTGCAGGTTGTGCACTACTCTAAAAGCAAAAGTTCAAAATTGTACTCACAGCAAGCTACCCAGTAAAAGGGTCTGTTTATCGGTGACATGGAGACATGTCCTGGTATACACTGCTGACCTAACCAAAACACATGCAACATATTTTTTGCAGCGCCAGGGTTGTGTCCATTCACAATAAATGGGTTGGTTTATGGTGCACTGTGTTAAGTGCAGTGTGAAAAGGCCTTAACAATGGGGGGGGGGGGGGCCCAAAGGGGGGGGGGGAAAAATGGTGGGAAGGGGTTTTTTTTTTTTTTTTTTTTTTTAACCTTCTGGTTGGCATGTAAACATGCATCGTGACGACAAGGAAAACATGGAAAACTCACATTTTAGTTGAATATTGGTTGAAGGGACTTTTTTCCCCGATTTTGAAAATGAAAAATTTGGAGGCCATTTCGAACCTGAATAGTACTTGCACTGAACTATTGAAACAATTAGTGACAGTGGTTATTTTTCAATCAAATGGCGTCCCAGTTGCTTGTAAGATATTGACAGCAGACATTTATCCTGCTGGACCGTCCAAATGATTAAAGAGAACTTTCTTCTACAATTTCTTAATTGGCTCAGCTATTTTTGGACCCTCTAACTCTGAAAGGCAGCTTCTATGTTCACCTTGTTTTATCTTGAGATCTGTCACATCTTTTTTTCAAACCCGCGGGAGATGTTCCGCCATAGTTTGAGCAAAGCTCCCGAAGCCTCAGGAAACAGGTCAGCGCAAGGCTACAGAGGTGTCTAAGTGCACAGCAAATGACTGACACCTTGTCAGTCACACCCTCTGTCTTTGATTGTTTTTCCTCGGGTGTGTTGGTTTCTTAAAAATCAAATTAGAGGTACCAAATGGGGCAAGAAAGGGATGATTTAAAAAAAAAACAATTTACAAGTCAAATACAGTATACAACTCATGTTTATACTGATAGTTTTCACAAATATGGCAAATAAGTTTTCTTGTTTGTTGGTTTTGTTTAGTTTGCCAACTCCCTCCTTAATGTGTTGGTTGCAGTGTATGAGGTCCATAGGCAGTAGGCAGGCCAGATGCTGCTTGCGAGTCAGCCAACTATTGAGGGCCACTGGCGATTTTCATAAAAATTTATCTTCTCAAAGCCGCATTCGGATATTTGATTTCTTCCATAGTTCACGTTAGATCCCATTACACAGTTACAAGCAGGTCTTAAATACACGGATGATAAGTCGGTGCAGCTCCATAGCTGGGGTTTGATCAGTTGGTGTTAAAGTAGCCCAAGGTTTAGGATACCATGACATCAACGCTAATTTCCGTCCATGTGTTGATGGCACTTCACGTCGTGAGCATTAAATTAGACTATTTTTATTCAATGAAATTATGTAGTTTGGTTGAACATTTTGGTGTGTAAGTAGACTGTGCAATGTTTAATTCTCTTTGTTTTAATTGTGTGTTTTTACACTAAATATCAACTAGTAGTTGTAACATTTTTGTTTTGTCTTTTGTCTTCCATAACATCTTCAGGTGTTATGTTGATGTCCCTTGCGCTTGGCATACGGTTGTGTGGGATCTATCTATCTATTTTTATTAATCAAGGGAAATGTATGTATTTTTTTTTAAAAGATGGTTAATGTAAACAGCACTTGGATAAAAGTGTCTTGGCTTCATGAATTCCATATCAATGGAAAGCGGTAAAGTTAGAGCTACTGATGCTTGTTGTGTTAAGTTAATGAGGTTTTATGGAATGTCTTGAAAGTAAACAAACACGACTTTTCCTTGACTGGATGCTCTGGAAGTGCAGTCACCACAAAGCTCGTTAATTTTGATCGTGGAGTGTCACCAAGTGGTCAAATCACATGCATCACGATAAATGCATCGATTCACTATGGTTGCCCGGACAATTTCCTTTTGTCACATTTAGTACTTCGTTAATATTTAAATGTGATGATTTTAAAAAAGTATTAATTTAGAAAAAAAAAGTTAAGGGTTGAAGATCATACCGGGGCAAGCAAGGCTTTTCATGGAAGATTAAGGAGAATATTTGTGTTTTGTTGTACTGTAATTGTTAGACTGAGGTACTGTTGGCGCTAAAAAGTGACATTTAGTCCATTCTAGGACTATTAGTTGGTATATTTTTAAAGAAACAGTAACAGCCATTTAAAAATACAAAAAAGAAAAAAAATCCCAGGAGGAAGTATTGGAATGAATGAAAAAAAATACTAAACTTCATCCACTGTACAAGACATGTTTGAAGAAAAAGTTTAACAATAATAGTGTCATAATTTCAAAACAAATAACAATTGTTAATGGCTCAACATTAAATTCATAAAACACTCTTGAAACACTCTGACAAGAGCAATACAAAAGGTGTTGCTAATGCACCTCTAATATCATTTGTTGCCTTCTAACAGCTCTCGCAATTGTGGTACTGGAAGTTTTGTCTTTTAGCTCTCTTTGATATGTGAAATGGTTGATTTAAATCATCCAAAATTGCACTGTTGCAATTTTTTATGTCTTCGTCTCATGTTTTTAATATTTCTCCTGTGCATGCTTTTTTTTTTTTTTTTTTTGGTAGGGGCGGGAAAGTCCCGCCGGGAATATGTGAGAGCGGTATCCTAAGTCTGCCGATCGACTTTAAAGGCTTGCTAAAGGCAGGCTTAGAAGAACATCTCAAAATCAGTTGTTTACAGTGTTCTCTGTTGTATACAGATCATACTTCGGTTGGCGGGCTGGGGGACAGCTTTTACGAATACCTACTGAAAGCATGGCTCATGTCAGACAAAACGGACACAGAAGCACGCAAGACGTACGACGATGCCATTGAGGTAAGACTTTATCTCACGTTAGCATGTTCGCAAACTGTCTCTCACCTACTGTTGATGTAGCTCTGGAAATTATTAAAAGTAGCTACAGTGCATCCGTAAAATATTCACAGCATTTTACTTTTTCCACATGTTATAGCCTCATCTCGAAATTGAATAAATTAATTTTTTTCTTCAAAATTTTACACATAACACAACACACATCATGACAATATGAAAGGAGAATTTTTGCAAATGTATTACAAAAACAAAACAAAAAAAACCCCTAAGACATCACTTGTACATAAGTGTTCACAGCCTTACTTTGATGTTGCACAGTTGGCCGTAATTACAGCTAAAGAGTTCAGTCTTTGTCTCATCAGACCAGAGAATTTTCTTTCTGAGGGTCTGAGAGCCCGTCAGGTGCCTTTTGGCAAACTCCGGGTGGGCAGCCATATGCTGTTTAGTAAGAATTGGCTTCCGTCTGGCCACTTTACCAAACAGGCCTGAATAGTGGAGTGCTGCAGAGATTGTTGTCCTGGAAGGTTATCCTCTTTCCACAGAGGACCGCTGGAGCTCTGAGAGAGTAACGTTCGGGTTCTTGGTCACCTCCCGGCTTGATCTATTTAGATGGGTGGCCAGCTCTAGGGAGAGTTCCAGTGGTTTGGAAGTCATAGTGTCACAAAGTGTTATCAGCAGGTTGCAACACAGATAGAGAGAGACTGGAAGAGTCACAGAAATATGTAGAAGTGGATGTCTTTTGGCCACATCCCATGCTCATGACCGCTACATTGTGAACAATGTCCTGAGAAACCAGATAATGAATGCCACTCAACTCCAGGCACGTTTAAGAGAGTTGATAGGCACCCAAGTGTCACATCAGACTATTGAAAACCGTTTACATCAGTGTGATCTGCGTGCTAGATGACCTCCAAAGGTACTTGACCACACCGCCAGGCACAGACAGGCGTCATCGTCTTGCATGGGTCAGGGAGCATTTACACTGGATGAGGGACCAGTGAGCCTCAGTGCTGTCGATTCACATTGAGCAGAAATTATGGCCTCCAACGATGTTGGAGACGTCAACGAGAGCGCTATGCATCAGCCACTGCTGTCACCAGACGGGTTTTGTGTTACAGCGTGGGCAGGTGTGTCCAGTCGGCACAGGACCCCCAACACTTTGTGAATGGTACAGTGATAAACCCATATTACCCGAATAATATTATTTATCCAGTGATTGTGCCCCAACATGTACAAACTAATTTCATCTTGATGGACAACAATGCTCCAGCTCATCGAGGTCGCATCTTCAGGGAACGGCTGATGTAGGCTGGTGTACCTCAAATGGAATTGTTGTAACATTCATTCATTCATTCATTCATCTTCCGAACCGCTTGATCCTCACTAGGGTCGCGGGGGGTGCCGGAGCCTATCCCAGCTGTCTTCGGGCAGTAGGCGGGGGACACCCTGAATCGGTTGCCAGCCAATCGCAGGGCACACAGAGACGAACAACCATCCACGCTCACATTCACACCTAGGGACAACTTACGAGTGTTCAATCAGCCTACCATGCATGTTTTTGGAATGTGGGAGGAAACCGGAGTACCCGGAGAAAACCCACGCAGGCCCGGGGAGAACATGCAAGCTCCACACAGGGAGGCCGGAGCTGGAATTGAACCCGGTACCTCTGCACTGTGAAGTCGACGTGCTAACCACTGGACTACCGGGCCGCCTGTTGTAACATTGTATAGGAATATTGTCACATCTCCTCTGACAAGCGCTACTCGTAGCTTGTGTTCATTGGTGTTTATGTTTGTTGCGGTTGACCGCTGGCTCATGCAAGGTCGGGATGCATAGTGTGTTCAGTATGCGCACACCAGTGATAAAAATCGTCTCTGCCCACATTCACAAACATTTATGTTGAGACACTGACGTTGCTACATGAGAAGGTAAGACTGTAAATGCAAAATGCTCTATAAAGCAGTCATAGTAGTCTTATATTTTTATATTTATGGACCATACGTTTTAGCAGATTAATCAGTAAATGCTATTATTGATTGATAAATGCATAGACATTTGCCTGCTTCATTAAACACATTTAGTAAAGTCATATAAAATTAATTGCAAACAAACTTTTAATTCAAGGCAAAATATGCATATTTCATAACTTGAGTTTATGTCAATCTTTACTTCATATGAAGCACCATTTAACACAACTACTAATCAACATGCATGGCCTTGCCCTTCACTCCCCCCAAGAAAAAAAATAAAATAAAATTGGTGACTAATTGATAAAGTTGTGAGCACTAGCACCAGTGCTAACAGGTGAACATTTAGTATCGAGCTTTGGGTTGTAGTTGCATCGTTGTGCAAACTGTAGTTGCAGTCTGTTATAATTACTTATTCACATAGTTTTAGTTTTACACCAAATTGCGAAGGTTCATTATGAATTTTATATGTGTCACGATATTCAAACATTCAAAACAATTCAAAATGCCTGCCCACCTGCAGGCAATCGAGCGCCACCTGATCCGCAAGTCCAACAGTGGTCTGACATTTATTGGCGAATGGAAGAATGGCCACCTGGAGAGGAAGATGGGCCACCTGGCGTGCTTTGCCGGCGGCATGTTCGCGCTGGGTGCAGATGGCTCGCCCGAAGATAAGGCGGGCCACTGGCTGCAGCTGGGCGCAGAGATCGCACACACCTGCCACGAGTCTTATGACAGGACAGGTGGGCAATGCTACTACAAGCAGTACCAAGTACCATCCATCCATTTTCAGATCCGCTTTATCCTCAAAAGGTTCGCGTGGGGTGCTGGAGCCTCTCCCAGCTGTCTTCAGTAGGCAGGGGAAACCCTGAACCAGTTGCAGGCCAATCGCAGGGCACACACAGACGAACAACGATCCGCGCTCACATTCACACTTCGGGACAATTTAGAGTGCTCTGATGTTTTTGGAATGTGGGAGGAAATACAGATACTGTGAGTTGGACTGTTGGAGACATCTGTAATTTTAATCCTTACCTGTGAGAAATTACCTTCCACAAACCTCATAATAAAGGTTTGGTTCCTGGTCTTTTCGAATATCTGGTAGGCAAACTTCTAAAAACCAACACATTTCTGTCATGTTTTCAGTACAGGTCAGCACTTTACCATGCACAAGTACCCGAGCACTTATAGTAAACAAATATTCTGAAAAGGTCTATTTGTCACAAAAGCGACGATTTATCGTGATGTTGGAAACTTTTACCCCGACGTTACGTCCTTCCAAGCTGCAAAAATGTTGCTGAGTTCGCCTTACCTCACTTGTACGAGTCTATAACAGAGATGAAAAGAATTGTTTCAAACCTTAGTTGCTGTTAGAAATGTGCTCCGACAAGAGAGGTTGGCGTAGCAACAAATTACAGAAAAGAGAAACAGAGCGCGAGAGAGAGAGAAGAGGAGTGTTTGAACGATATCGGAGCTGTTAGCCTGTCAGTACTTGTTTATAGTTTATTTTTATTTTAACTAAGTAAATTTCATTTAGCTTCTTTGCTTAACCACAACAGTTTGTTTTGGAATGGCTGTTGGACGGACAAATACATTTACCGCATTTTTCAATGTCTCTCTGGAGTCCCACCAGTCAAAAATGCATCATGAAAAAGAAAAAAAAACAGACCTGTATAGATCGGTCACATTTTGGGGGAACTTTATTTTACCAAAAAAAAAAAAAAAACACACACAAACACAAACAAAAGTACAGTTCAGACTCACCCAAATTCCCTGTTCCCTAATCGTGGGTGCTTTCAGAAATATCGGATGTAAACTCCTTTCAATTTCTCAAAAATCGACAGTGCGCCTTTTAGTGTTCCATCTCTACTTCGTGGTTCGGTTATGGCAGATTTTCATTTGTGACCATAACTTCATCGAAAGCAGTTTGATCTCACTATTTTAATGGGTTGTGGGTTTGTTTATTGTTTTTTTTCCTTTTTCTCCAATTCAATTTATGAATAGAGCCTGCAGCTCAGTACTTATTCTTTATTTTGCAATTTTAAAAGTTAAACATATGTATGTGCGCGCACACACACACACACACACACACACACACACACACACACTCTATATATGATTTCTGACGGTCAGAAATTCAAACTTAACAATGACAATCAAAATTAATATCAATTTTGATCATCTTTTCCCCTCCAGTGGTCAAGCTGGGCCCCGAGGCCTTCAAGTTCGATAGTGGCCTGGAGGCAGTGGCTGTGAGGCAGAACGAGAAGTACTACATCCTGCGGCCCGAGGTCATCGAAACCTACTGGTACATGTGGAGGTTCACCCATGACCCCAAATACCGCCAGTGGGGCTGGGAAGCAGCACAGGTAACCCTCATACATTTAAAAACTAATGCCATTACTAATGGTAATGATAGTTGCGCCCGCTATATAAATATTGTACAGAGCCCGTGAATTCGCCAAACAGAAGCACGAAGGACTTCTTTATAACTAGAAGAGAAACTTTGTCCAGGCTGGACTCAGGCCGGGGTGAGTGTTTTTGGGGTTACGCTTCGGGACCTGATCGCCTCCTGTTGGGCCTTCCTCAGCCTGGGGTGTTTCATGTTACTCACTGAAACACCTGATGACAGCATCGGTTAAGTACTGAAGACGTATCCCCTGGAACACTTGTTAAGTGTTCCCAGCTCTACTCTACTGTAAGAGGTGTCATTCATTGAATGTCCTTGTATTGGACCTATTAGACTACGGTATTCTTCACTCCACTATTTCAACTACAGGATCAAGTGCATTCTCTTAGTTTGTTCTTACACTTCAAGGATGTTATACATCTCATCCGCCGGCTCTTGAACCTGATTAAATTGCCAGCTATTTTGATTTTCGAAGTTGGATACTTTCTGCTTCACCCCTCCTATTATCCTCAAATATTGCTAACACATTTTTTCCTTGCAGTCAATTTTACCCCTGGGATATTTAGCTCAAGACAGCAGCCAGTTGGCCTGTCCTCTAGCGCCGCCATCAGGTCAAACTTTTCAATTAATGTATCCTTAAAGGTTTTCATACAAATCTTCAGAAATTTTCAGAAAACATTTAATAGCCACAAGAGGATGAAACCTGTTCATTTTGGTGATGAAATTACCTTTCCTGTCGCGCCACCACCGGGGTCAATTATTCCGTTTTTGAGTTCGGGTCTTGAAAATTTTTCATCCAAATATTTTCTAATTTGGGGTTTGCATTCACGACTCTCACCATATTGATGAATGTTGGGAACCTCCTCTCCCCACCTGGCCCCCTGCCTACTTATTTTGAGCTCCTTTTTTTTTTTTTTTTTTTTTGGTCAGATATTTGTCTCACTCATAAAGTCTCCCTCACCCGTCCTCTTTAGTTATCCGCGCTTGGGAGTGACAGTGGCATAGTTCGTTTTTTTGGTGGGGGAGGTGGATTCTTTGTGTGTGTGTGTGTGTGTGTGTGTGTGTGTGTGTGT